GGCTGTATCGTTGACCGAAATTATACATATACCGGATATGGAAGTGACGTCTTTGGTCGTCTGTTCCCAATGTATCTGTCGCATCCATGACACGATTCGGAAATCCATAACATGTATTACAAGCGGCTAATGTATCGCTATATCTGCAGTTTATTGCACCATATGCGTTGAAATCGATAGTAACGTGTAATAACGGGAAACAATGTTAATAAAATATTAATATTTTTAATAAAGAAAAAGAAGTATCTATCACATCTTTACGTTAAAGGTAAAATACTTCGTATTGATTATATGGAAAATTGGATCTCGATGACATATAATTAGAAATGAGTTAATTTTTACATATAATGTAGCTTATAATGTGGTAAATGGAAGTTATTCGAAATATATAGCTCAATAAAAACACTGTGAAAGATTAATGCTGCAGTATCATAAATATTGATGAATTTACTTTCTCGTTTATTATTTCATAATCTCACATATATATGTCATTTATTGCTAATTTTGCCATAATAAAAGATGATTTGAAATCCTCCTAAAAAAGAATCGGGCAAAAGACTCCGCACTAATTATATAGAAAATTGAGTTTTGATGAAATGAGTTAGTTTTCATGTATAATGTAACTTAGAGTATGGAGAAGAGAAGATGTCACAGACACAAGGCTCAAATAATGGATAACTTTTCAACTATATGTGCTCATGTGAACATAAGCTTTATAGCTTTGATACACCAACTCGGAAAGCTCTATTCATTATTGAGCCTTCTATTGAGACATCTTCTGTTCACCACATTATAAGTTACGTGGCATCTAACTCATTTCATCAAAATTAAATTTTCCAATTAGTGTGGAATCTTTTGCCTAATGGTTTTTTCTAGAAATTAAACCTATTCAAACTTTCATTGATTAAAACAATCAAATTTTGATTAGAATAACATCTTTTAAATGAAAAAGTAAAAAAGTTTTCGTTAATTACATATCAATAAAATAAATGATTATACGTACCAAATCTTTCTTTCAGTGTACAGCATTAACCTTTCACAGTTTTTTCATTAAGCTATATTTTTTTTAAATATATAAATTCCTCCAAATAATAAAAATCTTTCATATTTAATTTAATCAAATTGAATCTAATTAAATTGAGAACAAATATATTTCGCTTATTAGTAAAAATAATTCGGATCGTAAAGAGTTAATGCTACAAATACCATGTGATTTTTAAAAGACTTTAATTTGATGCAAAAATATCCAAGCAATAGTCAATGTAGAAATGAAATAAGAAAGATACGAGCTACTCCAACATGCAGAAATCAACATGCAGAAATAACAAAACAGACAACGTAAGTGCGAATTATTCGATTGGTCCATTCATCGCGCGGAATTTCGAGATGGAAAAATAAATTCGGTGCTCCATAAAGTGGAAACTGCTGCGGAAGACAGCGAGGATGAAAAAATGCGCACTGGTCCGGCGATAAAGCAAACAAACACGAACCTGGAGAACTCGAGCACGGGATAATTTATAGTGTCGGACGTGAAGCTGGCCCAACGGCGAACGAGGGGTCAGGGTCGTGCAGAGGAACGAGTTGGCGAGTTCGTTGGCCATTATATAGGTGATGGCTATTTAATAACTTTCCCTCTCATTTTATATGGCAAAAAAAGGATGAAATCGGATCACGAAAGATTGGATAACGAATTGCTCGCGCGAGTCGGATAATCGCAGGCCCAGCGGATAAATAATTAATCTGAGGCCACGCCACCGCCGCAATACTTGCCTGACAAAGAGATTGGAAGAAATTCCCATGGCATTCTATCTGGCAATTTCAAGCGAATATATAATTATTATTATAATTATTACATAAATCTCAAACTTCGAAATTAAAATTGCGATAAAAAAAATCGTTCTTAAGTCGTCCATGACGTGCCGACTTTAAATAAGATTTTTTGTTACTGTTTAAAACGCTTCAATAGGGAACGCCCATATCCATCAGTTATCAACATTTTTTTCTGAAAAAAGCTGATATGATAATGTATTATAAAAGTGGATAATAATCAGAGTACCTACGACCGCCATCTGCTGGGTATATTTTATACTATACAGTGTCCGGCTTATCCGGTCTTATGGTAATGGCGGTTTCACGCCGCTCATTTATTAAAATGATCGATAATCCTTACTTTATAATGTAACACCCGCCATACATCGAATCAAGTACGATCCGTTTCGAAGAAAAAAAATTCCCATGCAAAACTTATGCGCCCAGTTCATGAAGCTTTCTACAATATTAACTTAATTTCCGACGCAACATCGTGTGAACAATCGCGCGACATTAAATAATTACATTAAATAGTTATAGTTTGTATAACACAATATACTGTGTTGCAAAATTTGCATATTAAATATTAATGCATCACAAAACATTTTAGTTGAATGCAAAATAAGATTTATTCATTTAGAAAAATGTGCACAAGTTTTAAACAAAAATAATATGACACATAGAACTATCTAGCGCAAACAAGATCTCTCTAGAACAACTTTGTTACTCTCTCGAAATCCTGTTTGGCAAATCCACAAGACTTATATTAAACAAAAAAAAGCTGAAAGATAAATTTACGATGGCATAATTTTCAAAACGTACACACAGAAAAAGACAAACTACACATAAGTAACTGTTTCAAATATTTCAAAAGTTCCTATATCCGCAACTCTATCGTAAGTTCGCAAACATTAAATTTATTCAAAATGTATTCTGAATCTTAATAAGTTTAATACTTCAATCGAGATTATTATTAAATTAAAATATATTCGATATACTTATTATATAAAATCGTTCCTTCAATCAATTTATAATATTCTTATAATATTTTTCAAAAGAAAACAAATTCTTACATAAATATGAGATAATTAAATTTAAATTAAGAATATATATTGTATTCATAATATCTAACTTTGACCGATTATTGGCGTTCTCACATTTATGTATATCATTTACACAGTCGTATTTAAATAAATTCTTGTTTTAAATATACAATAATGAGTTCTCTAAATTTGTAATAAGTATATTTTAAAATTATTATCAAGAAAACATTTTTTATTAAAAATAACCGTTACTTAAAAGGAGGAAAATAAATTGAGTTATCATTTTTCTTAGTAAAAGAAGATCTTTTTCTATGTGTACTTTTATACCCTCGCGTCAATATATAAATTCTTTTCTTATAACGCTTCTTTTAAACATTTTTCTTAAAATAAACCATTATTTTATTGCAATTAAAAAATAAGAGAAATATCTCTTAGTTTATTAATTAAAAATTGATAAACTAATAGTATATATCAGAGACCCAGACTGAACCGAAATCATTTCGAAACCCTTTTTTTTTAGTGAACCAGAATCGAATCCGTATCCAAATTTTGTATAGTTTACAATATCGAAACCGAAGTGATAAAATTTTACGATTTTTTTCGGTTCTTTTTTCAGTTCTTAATTTTTAATCTTTATCCTTGTTCTTAATCTTTGTTCTGCCCATTCTTTCAAATCACCAATATTCAAAATCTAGTATTACCATCGCCAGCTTTCTTAATAACCTTAATTTCTTATATCATATCAGATGTTGGAGAATGTAAATATCTCCAACACCTCATATAATATAAGAAATCTGTCGGGATCGCGAGACATATTTAATGTAAACTTTTTTTAAGGTACTAGCATTTCTCTTATTAGGTCTTCCTCACATGTTAGAATTTATTCTAAGTCATGAAATTCAAGAATATATAGACTTTATGTATAATAATAAGTTAGATCTATCCATCAAGAATCAAATAAGTTGTAAAAAAGGATTAAGAGAAATATGTCTAAAATAATGTTTACGTAATTTTTATTCAGAGTCACGTGATCAATTGATGCCTCTTTTCGATTAGGCTCTCTAGATTGAACGGATGAACACGCTCTCTCTTTCTCTCCCTCTCTCTCTCCCCTCCCTTTCCCCTCCTTCTTCTTAATAGAACAAATTTAAAGAATAAATAAAATAAATCAAGTAAATAGAACCGAAAAAAATCGTTAAAAAACCGTAATTTTTACAGTTTCGGTTTTCTTTATTAATAAAAAACAACCGAAACTGAAATCAGAATATTTATTTAATATTTTATTAAACTGAAACTGAATCGAGAAAAAAATCTTTCGATTCGGGTTCCTGATATATATAAGAGAAATAGTATACAGCAATAACATTGCAACATTGCAAACATCAAATAAAAAAAAATAAAAGTTCAGATGAGGCTAATGAGAGTCATACGCTAATGTAGCGAAGAGAAGCAAATAATTCTCAGGTGTTGATGGTTATCTTCATTTTATTTCGAACGTTTCAACTCCCTTTGGAGTCTTCCTCTGCGAATACAAAACAAAAACTCTTCCATTGAGAGCAAGTCACTTGCAGATTAGCAGAAATGCAGCATTCATTACATTCAATGGGAAACGAAAAAAATGAAGCTAAAAAATAACGAAGTTATATAATTAAATAAGAAAGTTACACTGTATATTAGATACATATCGTTCTTCTGAATATGAATTTGTGTATATACGATATGATGTGTCTTTTAGAACTCTCTTAAAAGACTCATTAGCCTCATCTGAACTTTTATTATTTTTTATTTTATTGTTTAAGATTGAGAGTCCTTATTTATATTTATATATTTATTTTAATTGTGTTTATTGCAATGTGCCGTAGCAATGTTGCTGCAAACTTGTGTATGGCTATATTACTCATCTGTTTTCATCTTGTAATTCTTACATCTTCATGTAAAAAAGCTCATTTAACAGTGTAATACCATCAGTAGCGTTTATTATGCGTCCTAAGATAAATTCTTTAAGAGCGTGGAAGAAAATTACGCGCGGCTGATGAAGAAGGCGGAGTAGAAAATAAACACTCTACAAAGAGATGCAAAGTAGAGGGGTCGTGCGGATTAAAAATGAAGCCTGCCAATTTCCATTTCGTAAATCACGCCGATACTCACTGCCAAGCGAATCCGCCGGTGATTCCTTCTCGCAGCCGATCCTTGAGGCTCCGTTGCCTGGAAGGGATGGTGTCTTCCGGTTTAATAGGCGGTCCACCGCCGCCACCACCGGCACCGCTGCCGCCACCGGAGAATAACGCCATACCTTTCGCGTTCCGATAACGTCGATCGTCGAATCAATTATACCTGTGACACTCCTCGCGGTCCCCGCGATCTCTCCACGTCAACAATTTCACATCGCGTATCGAACAGGCATGATCAAAGCTGCTGACCGACGTATTTCGGGTGGCTGTTTGAAACTGATCCTACTCCAGATTTAGATATTTAAAGAACTCGACCCGCGCGCGACGAAAGATCGGTCCGATTTTCGATCAGTCGCGTCGACAATCGAGGTTCCTTCTTACGAACGTGCGTGAAAAACACTCGCGAGCGGAGCTTCGGTGAACTTCGATAGCGGTTATCGCACGTATATCAGGGTCACATGCAAACACCAATTCGTCGATCCGTGACGATCAGTGAATCGATCGGACTTCACTGACGTTGTACTTGTCGCCAACGAGCGTATCAGCTGCACAGGCAGACACGAACGAGTCGCGAACGAATCGCGGCCAAGACGACATCTGATGATGACCGTTGGCAGCGACGTCACTCACCTCTCTTATATTTCCCTCCGCGTCTCACCTCTGACATGGTGCCAATTGTCGCAAATCCCCGGCACACCACGAGTCTACAGGAGCAACCAAATTCAGTTAACCCTTTGATAAATGCGTAACAGCGAATTCACTTCGACAGAACGATTTGTTTTGAACGTCGATTATTTCCGAAATTAATAGAAAATAGTGAAATACTGATACGAATCTATACATTTGTTCTCCAAATAAATATTTTAATTTTCTAGAATTTAAGCGTATTTAATAAGTAATTTATAACAATAAGAGATTATCCTAAAAGTGTTTATAAAACTCTTGAAATTAAACGGGTTAAATAATTAAGGGTTTTAAAACGTAAAAATTCTAAAATATTATTAATTTTGTTAAGCTAAATGGTATTCGAGCATCATCATTCTAGTATTAATTTGAAACGTTTGATGGTATTTCATAAATTTAATTATCTTAATCTACTTATACTAATAATATTTAATAATTTTGAGGTATTATTTCATTAATTAAATATCATAGCCAATGAACTATAATTTAAAATATAAATAACGCGCTGTTCAAACCAGAAAAAACTCCTTCTATGAAGTAATTCTTATAAAAGAATTTAAAAATTTAATCTCTCCTCCACTTCTCTTTCTCATTTTTGTAAAATTTATGTTCTTTTTTTGCAAAATAAAAAATTTCGTGCTCGAAAAAATTTGTATTTGTAGTTAGAATTTATTGAGCAATCTTTTACACTCAGAGAAAAACATAGCAATAGTAAATATATATGTAGGTGACTATACAAATTTTTTATCATATAGGATTAAATTAATGTTAAAATAGTTGTAAAATAGTTTATTCAACTATGTGTGTGTGTATTTTAATTCTACTCATAAAAGTTTTATATTATTATTACTTATATTGCAGTTTGCTACCACTACATGTCTTTCTCTCTGAGTGTACTTGTACGATTATTCATCGTGATATAATCTGTATATAGTTAATAAAGCTTCTCAATTTGTAATTAATTATTGGAATAATATTTCTTATTTAGAATATTCCTTATTAAGAACTGAAATCAAAATAAAAACGTCTACATAAGATAAATGAATCGAACGGTAGTAAAATGAAATAACACGGGATGTTACCGATGAAAATGATACCGATGTATACTTAATGTATTCACGTGACTCCACATGTTTTAATCTTTCTACGTTATCTCACGTCGCGACAACGCTATACTCGTCGCAAACTGCGCACTCATCAAAATAATAACGAAACGTGAACAAAAAACCCATTCATCAGCGTAGTTAAAAACTAATCTGTGTAGTGTGTATATATTTTATATATATATATACAGTTGTACAAAACATGTTTTCTGACAACCATTGTGTTCCCTTGAACAGTTAGCCTCCCTCACACCTTTAATCGTTGAGTCATGAAACACTGTTTTATATCGAAAAGACATTTCCAAATATTAATTTAGTAATCATTCATTATTTATTGACATATAAATAAACATTTGTAAAGAACCTCGCCAGCTTTGCAAATGCAATTCATCGTTAAAACGCGTATTTTTGTCGATTCATCATAAAAATATACGATCGAGAATTGAGAAAAGAAATGGAGGGTAAAAGAGTAATCCGAGAAGGAATTGTCAGAAAAAAAAGGAGAAGTATCGTTAGGAAAGCCAGGAGGAACTGATCGCTGAAGATGGATCGAACACCCTTGTAGACGTTCGCGATAATCAATCAATCGACAATCTTCTTGACAGACAGCTCTAGTCGCAGGATAACATAATGATCTACGAATGTTCTTACAGTCATGATAGGAGGCTTTCGAAGGAAGAATGAATTGAATTTACGATACAATTGATAATATGTTCACATTATCATAATAAACATAAGCTCGCCTTATACATATAATAAATCATAATTTATATTACGATTTAATTTACTTCAATAATGTTTTACATGGTTTTATGTGGTTGAACATTACTCTTGTCCTGAACACTCGACATAAATAACAAGAAGATTTTTAATGCATCGACGTGTACACGGTCATCTCGGTTCTAAAGACAGGGCGATCAAATCGAACATAACAACCTCGGTTAAACTTTATTACGTCGAGCTCTGCGCGTATAGTCAAGGCCGCGACGATGATAACAGCCGATCTTAATTATATGGAAATCGAGCAGAGTCTTATTGTTCAGTTGAGACATAATGATTTCCTTTGAAACAGCTGTGACCGTTTGAGTAGAACACAATGCAACGATCAAAGTTAAATGTTAGAATATTTAGGTAAAAAAACGTTTATCAAAATATTACATTAATTCTATCATAACATATGTTTATCAAAATGGGTTATCGTAATGTCATAATTTCGACAGCATGATAATTTTATTATAACGCTCCTTTACTTCAAAAATAACACATTTAAAAAAAACGTTTAAAAACGAAAAAGATTTTCGAATTATTACTTATGAATTAAGTGAACATTACTCTATCAATCATCAAAGGTGAACTACGTAATTATTCATTTTAACACATTTTACATTCCAAACAATCCATTCACAAATTTTTATATCAATTTAATACGAAATGAATATGTTAGAAAATAATATAAGTGAAAATTAATACAAGAAATGTAACACTTTGACCAAAGCAAATTGAAGAATATATTTCTTCAGTAAAATTAACATTTACCATTCAGTTATCTTAGAATTTCCGTTTTAAAACTACATTATTTTCATGTTACCTCTTTGTTTACTTACTCATCGTATTATTTTAACACTAAGAAATGTTAAATATCAATTTAACTTAAAATATTTAAATAACATAATCACAGTATGATGAATTAATACTCGGATATGTTAATTCGACACAAAAGTTCTTTAAATTTAATGTAAGTTTAAGTTTTTTTTAATTTTAAAGACCAATTTCAATACAAGCACAAAATGAATATTTTTTACTATGTAACTTAACTTCATAAAAAATCGTCGAAATCATCACAATTCAAAAAGATTTTTAAAATTTGAAATGAAAATGATAAAAATAACAAAAAATATATCATAAAAACGAAACGTGGTTATATATTTAAAACGTATAAAAAGAAGAGCATAAAAAATACTTGTGTGGTGGTTTTTTATGCTCTTCTTTTTATACGATAAAAATAATATTTGATGTTAAAAATTAGAAATTATAATATTCATTTTGCGATATTATTCGATTTAATTAATAATTCTCTGCCAAGTTGAAAAATATTTTTTCTCCTTTTCTGAGAAATTTCATTTTTTGAGTTATGTGCTTTTGAAAGGAAGCGATAATTCTATTATAAATACACCACACTCTTATGCTAGTTTCCTAAATTTTATTTGGTTGCGCTTTAGAATACCTACAGTTTATATATAATAGCGTGTTAAAAAATTGGATAATTAAAAAAATAAATATTTTACGACTCAACGCTCAAAATAGCATCTAATACGTGATCTTTTTAAAACGTTAATCTCCATGTTTGACAACTCGCTGATTTATAAAGAAAGTTTATCAAGCACGCTCGACGAATCAGAACGAAAAGTTTCAAAGTAGCTATCTGCTTTCAGGATCATCGTACGTTTGTCTACCCTATACCAAAGATATCTACGTCAGCGTTTCGAGAGCCGCTTGTAACATGGCCTTGTAACATATACAAAGGACGACCTATAAAATCCGCAACACACAATTCAGCCGACATTACAGCGAAAACTCGACTACAGGGAGTTAAATGTGGCGACGAATTTTCCGGTGCGGAAATTCCCGTCGTTGCCGATACGACGACGACGGGCTTTTGTATCTCGTTCAAGGGCGTTATCAAGGTTAAGGTCACAATCAAGGTCATGCCAGTAGCAGCCGTTAATCCCGGTCCTCGTTCCTCGTGGTGAACACACCAGCCTACGCCTCTCCATGTCGAAAGCCTCCCAGTATTGATCTCCCTTCGCCCACCAAACTCGACCAATCCCAGCTGGCATTGCATGGTAACCAACGCTCCGCCACGTTTTCCGAAGAACCAACCTACCGCGGGAGTCCCTACTACCTGAACATTCAAAAAATTCCGTGATAACTGTTACTAAAGCGATTTAATTTGCCGGCACGCCGTGCTTCTCGTGCGTACCTTCGGGCGTCGTCGACCTTCGTCCAAATCGCGTGACGATCATCGTCAGAGAAACCTTCAATCTACGATCAGCGTTTAAGTACTGCCTGCTTAATTGTTTACTACTTTTCACTACGGTTATTTAGTCGTTCATTTGATTTAGCAATTAATGAGAGCTAAAGAACTTTAATTATTACAATTTTTAAGCATAATAATCAATTATTCTCTTTTAGTTAACTTATAGTTTATCTTTTTCTTTATATTATAAATTGTAAAAATTAAGATAGAAATATAAAGTAGAAACTTTTTCTACAACATATAGAAGTTTAGCTCGTTACATAGTAAAGATAATTAATATAAAGATGGCCAAGAAAATGAGCAAAATATGAAAAAATACGAATAGTAACTGTGCAATTTATTCATATATTAATAAATATGAGAAATAGAACGAACATTTCGCGTATCCTTTGAGTCTTTTTTAGCTAATACATAAATAAAAAACTAAAACTAAACTACAACTTTGACTTTTCTGATAAATAATGAACAAATTCTAAATACGTAATGGTTTATAAAATTGGTTGTATTACTCGAATACACAAAATGTAATAATCACTGAAATTCGAAATATAAACATATGCAGATATCACAATTCTAACTTTTTTAATTATTATTATACTAAAATAAAATTGGATCTACATTGATATTCAAACCTCAATAATATGATAACGTAATATCTTTTATATAATTAATAAAATAACATTTCCGATAACGTTAGGTGAAACCTTGAGACCTTGACACATCTCAATGAAAGTGGGTCATTCTCACGCATTCCCTTGAAACTCCTACACTTACATTTGGCCCAGCAAGATGTTCTAGGTATTGCGCGATTGTTTCGGAAAGTAGGCCATACTCGGCCTACTGCAATCCTAAGGACACTGCACCTGCGCGTCGCAGCATTGCGTGGGTTTGTGTGGTTAAGTGTCTTATGTGCTTCCTACAATTTATCTACTCAAAATCTTACAACAATTCATTTACCATTTTCTATTAATCAACCAAAAAATAAAGTAATAAAAAAATGAGATAAATTGAGTTAACTAAAAGAGAATAATCGATTACTGTTACGCATAATATAATAATTATAGTTCTTTAGCTTTCATTCTCAACTTTAATTCATTAACATATTTCTATCGAAGCATCAATATTCTTCAAAATTGCTTTCCTTGTCGACACGAAACTTTTGCTATTAACTCTGCTACTTAACTAAAAAATGATAAAAAAATTTCAGCTCAAATGAAATTATTAATCTAGAATGAACTTTCGAATTTGTCAATTGTAAAATAGCTACAATTACTAATCGACAATAGAAATGTCTATCTCGCGGGACATCCACAAATCGACGAGCGATCGTTTCACACCACTACACAAAAATTCGAATAAAAATTCCTAAATCTATATAAACGGTTTAACTAATCGAACCATGATAAATAAGACCGTATAAATCAAAGACCATTGCAAATACACCTCGCTAACCTCTCTGACCGTATTAAAATACAATAAATTTTTGCATTTAATAAATTAATGCGTGACCACTTCTACAGCTTTCTGCGTGATATATATGATGTATACGATATTTGAATATATGTTTTTTATAGGAAAAAGAGAAAATCGTACATATTGCAAATCTGCTAAATGCACCCGAGCTTTTTGCACAGAAAAAAAAACATGTAATTCCATTTTAATTGTATAACTATATCTATATATTCGGAATAATAAATTGGAATATGCAATATGTTTGTGTTATAATACATATTGCGTGCTAAACATCACAAATATACTTGTATATGACATGTATGAAACCGTAAAAACAGCTGTTAACAATTTAAAAAAAAAGGAAATGACGTCTGCCTTCATTTGTTTGTACATTTTTTCTCTCTCTTGCTACGACGTTATGTAATTTTATGCAATCTCCCTGTTTCGAACTCATTTATTCCATCGTGTGACACGCCGAAACGCAACGAAATTGAACAAACTTTGCTATGATAATGCAGATAAGAACTTTCCATAGTCGTCATGTAACTGTATCCCAGTGTTCTATCACGTGTCTTAATTTCGCATCAAACCTACACAAGTATTCTGCGAGTAAATCACACGCAAAGGCATCCTAGAAAAGAAAATACCTACGCACATAAATCCGTCTAAAAATTCATGAAATTTTAAAATCTTGTGAATTAAAATTGCACATTAAAAATTCCAAAAATTCGACACATATAATATCCAAACCTCTCCAAAATAAAAAATTAAATTCGCAAATAAAAAGAAAAAGTTAAATGTTATTTCTTATTAATAAAATATTTTAAAAATTCAGTAGTGTGTAATAATTTCTGAAAACCGCTTACTAAATAATAAATATCGAAAGCAATAAGATTACCAAAATTCAAATACACGTGTATTAATAAAACGTGTATTATTATTAGAAATGACAGATAAATAATTGTCATAGTTCTCTTTTAACGTGGTCTGGTCACAAAGAACCTTGAAAAAAAAAAAAGAAAATTGATTTTTTAAGCATTAATCAAATTTGAAATAAGAAATCTCTATGATATACTATTGTATGTATCAACAGATTAAATAACGATTGTACAGATTACTTCGACAAACGAGGAACGTATCCATATAGAAGAACGCGTTGGTGTTGAGCTTGCCCAAGCTTTCGTCAAAATCAAAATGCCAGTTGCCTCGTTCTGGCCGCGGCCGGAGGCCGATACGTGAGTCGAATCTACTCGTACAAAATATCAGAGAGGGAAATAAACGTTTATCGAGGGCGCAAGAGAAACAATAAAAATAACTTGGAAGCTTCCCCGAGAGGCCGAGATGTTCAGCAAACATGTTAACGCAGGCAGGAGTTCTCAAACACTTCCCAACGCCCAATTTTATATCTTTTCAACCACGCCCAATACATATGTGCTGCATGTATTACAGCAGTACATATAGCAATGTATATCGACGAGAGAGAGAAATGCTATACATTATATTGGTACAAAAAAGGTTTGTCACACATACACATACACACTTGTTTGTTGAATAAAGATAAAAACAAAATCGTAGCAAAATTGCCGCCACGCGCTTCAGTATGTTCTTTTTATACCTATAGAGAAACTTTTCAATTCCCTTTTCACAACTTCGATTTTCAGACTTTATTTAACGCAAAGTTGGAAAAATCCATGTAATGGCAGATCTTCTATCAATCTAAATTATATTAAAAATATGTAAAAATTATATACTTTCGTTATTATATTCGTATGAAGATCGTACAAGAAAAGAACAGTTTTGCTAAAGTATCTAAAAATTTAAATACGTACAGATCTGAAAATAATTTTGTTGAAATCATTAAAATAATTATCTAAAACGCTCAAGTTAGTTATAATGTCAAAACTTTTTGCAGCTTTACTATTATTATGCTTCAATTTTCTGCATAATTATTTTGATGGTGTAGTAAAATATATCTATCTAAATTTTTAGATACTTCAGCAAAATCATTATTTTCATGTAATTGTACGAAACTAACAAAAAAAAACTAATAAAAGAAACAAAAATCAAATGATATACTTTCAAACCTGAAATGCGAAAATGTACGAAAAAAAAATAGGTCACGTACGAATGAGTTAAATGATTCGGCCGCCGGCATTAACCTCCATAATACACCGACCTATCATTCATTTTATCTCGAGCCTACATAGTGCGAGCATGTTGCAAACGTTATCCGGTACGGTGCAATGTTTCGTAGCACGTAGCGCATATTGGATTACAATGAATCCTCTTACGATGCGGCGCAAGACTCTCAAGGTTGTACTGCGACCTTTGCCATTATCAACAACGAATCGCGAAAAAGTAAGCCCTCACTATATAACTCGGCGTGAGGAGTCCTCGGAACTTCAGGAGGATCTCTTGCCATCTTATTCCAGTTCGGTAGATCGCAAATATTCGTGAATGTTGCACAACTGAATTTACTTGCTACAAACGATGCAACGGTATTACGCGAGTAATAAATATTGTATTGAATCGGGACAAAAGTAGCACTGCTTCATTTGTATCTACATATTTTCGCCTATTACATCGGTCTACGAAACAAAGTTTCAGTTTTAAAAATCTGTTTTTTTAATTGCGGTACAATGATTTTTAATGAGTTATGATATACCAATCAAAGTCTCAAAATGCTTATTTTATTTAATCCGCAATAATTTAGTAATAAAAAATCTTAAAAATATTTCTTAAATAAAAGACGATTTTATAGAGAAAACTTTCACGTCAAAGTCGAAAATTTTTCATTTTGTGTAGCTCGTAGTTTTTCATATGTAAAAATTAAACTTAGAAATTCAAAAGACATAGTGACAGAATGTAAAAGAGGTAGTGACTTTTCGAAAATATAAATTTTAAGCTTTAAAATCAGTTTTTTTATTTTTTTATTTTATTTTATTTTTTTATTTTATTAAAATCTCATTCATTTTTCACGAAGTTACAGCTACTAATATTTAAAGTTCATAGTGCTATAAACTTTTGTTCCGACCCAATATATATATCATATCGTAATTTATTATTATTGTTATACATATTTGCGTCATCATATTGCATTTCTTATTCCATATTATTGTTAAATTATTATTGTTGAATTTATTGCAGATTTATTTATTTATTTATTTATTTATTACGCACTCGTGCCGAATTCATTAATATTAATTGTAGCTCAAATATTAATTAAAGCTCTGTGTGTGTGTGTGTGTGTGTGTATATATGTATACATATATACAAATTCAATACATAAAGTTTACTTTAGGGCATACATTTAATTTATTATTCACGATTAAAACTTCGTACACAATTCGTTTCACATTAATGACATAAACTTTTTTATTCTCTGTCGTTTCTTATCCCCGGTATTAGACTCGCCGCATTATTCGTGAAACAATCAGAAACGAGGCGTCTCTTCAGTCGCGCAAGTCGGAGTTCTAGAAATATGCAATGAACGTTTCTGCAGCTGCATCTGCCCACACGCGGACAACAAGGCTCATATGTAAATGTTCCTCGTTATTATACGAGATGTCGTGACAATATAAAAATGATGCAGCTGCATCCGTAAAATTCTTCCCACCAACACGGGGTG